TATATATGACTATATATATATAACTATATATGACTATATATATATGACTATATATATATATATATATATATATATATATATATATATATATATATATATATATATATATGTATATATAACTATATATGACTATATATATATATATATATATATATATATATATATATATATATATATATATATATATATATATATATATATATATATATATATATATATATATATATAGGGGCGGGTTTAGCTTTTTAAAGAGGTTAGTCAAAAAAGTCGGTTGCGGATTTTACCGCCCCCTCCCCACGAAAGGACGGGGGGAGGAATAAAGATGAATTACAAAAAAAAGTACCTACCCCATTTGTTTGATAAATAAGTTATTTGCAAAGCCTTTAAAAAAGCGGCTTGAATGGGGTTGCATATTTAAAAAATAGACACAACAAACTAAGTAAAAACAGACTACTATAATATTATTAAATTACAAGTTTAATATATATATATATATATATATATATATATATATATATATATATATATATATATATATATATATATATATATATATATATATATATTTAATATATTATATATATATATATATATATATATAGTATTAAAACTAGCAAGGATTTATTAAATCTACAAAAATAAAATATTGTCTGTGGTATTAAAATATTTTGTGGGCATCATTATTGTGTATAATTGTAACATATATAAATAATACACCTGTATAGAATATAACAAATCATTAATTAAATAGGCAAAGTTTGCATAGTTAGGTGACTTGCAAATAGAATAACAACTTTGTAAAAGTAAACAACTGCAATAACATTAATACCATAATTATAAAAAAATTATAATGTAATTTATTAGTATGACTATCATACTATGAGAAATGCAATAACACAAAAGCAATAATATGATAACTAACCATAAAAAACCATTTTTTTATTTTACTCTATTGATAGTTATGTTATATAATGTTAAACAATTGTAATATTAATGTTCGTAAACAAAGTTATGCTTACAGTTAATGTGTTGCATGTGTTTATTTTCTCTAAAGTGTTGACTAATGATCAATAAAGTAAACTTCAAATAATGAAAGCTTACTAAATTAAAACCATATTTCAACTCAAATAATCACACATGGTAGAATCTAAAGGTAGAGCTGAAAAAAAAAAAAAAGCATATAAAAGACAATGTATATAATGCTCTTAATTAAAATATCAAAGTTACAGTACATAACGGTACCAGTTTTGATTAACAATTGACAGGTAAAACTAAAGATAATTAGAAAAAAAAAGAATACAATAAAAATTAGACATGTTTAAATTTATAAAGATAATAAAATCTCATGAAAAATAAAGTAACAACTAAAATAAAATAAATAATCCTTTTAAATAAATAAAACAATAAAAAATAAAATAGTTATATTTTTTAATTTAAAAATTATACAAACTTTCTATTTGAAGAAGATCTTAAAGATACTGAATAAAGATTTGTATATACAGTGTATATACAAACCTTTATTCAGTATCTAATTTACAGCGTAAAAAACACATAAATTCTTCCCTAACATCATAGGAATTGTCTATAAACCTAATTACTAAAGACAATTATTCCAGTCAGAAGCTTCATCAGCAATAACTGAAAAAAATTGATTTTCTTTTATTTCAGAAATCAAAATATTTTGGATGTACTTTCCACAACAACTTAGTAATTCATTCTGTGAGGAATTAGAAATATGAGATGCATTCTTTGCACAGCTGTTAAGATAAAGTTCAAGAATTTTAAAAGTTCAATAAAATTACCTACTCACTAAACCCACTAAAGAATATTTGCCAATGACCATCACAATGACTACTAAAGCTAAATTAAGTTGACCTAAGAAAATGATTTTCTCACAAAACAACTTCTTACAATTTAAAGCAATCTCCTTTTCATATTCTTTATTAAAATATCTATATTTTAAATATTTCCATTCATAGTATTTACTGCAGAAAATATGGTCCAGGCATTATAATGTAGAATTTGTACTGCGTGATGATGTTCATAAATATTTCAGCTGAGTGATATTCATAATTATTCCCGTTTTTCCCATGGTAATGTCTATTAAAAGTGCTCACAGCATCTGGTCTATATTTGAATGACTGAGAATACTAATTTTTAAATCTAGACGCTTTTGAAGGGTATTTATATCTAAACAAAACACAACACAAACAAAATGCTCTATCTTCAGAAGGCGAATATCTAAGCCATGAAAATTGTTTTAATGATAAAAGTTTTTAAAGATTGCCCATTTGTTTTTGGAAAAGAAGTTTCATCAGGAACAAAAACATTTTGAATCAAATTTTATATTTGTAAATCTTTCAAAGTAAAAGCCTTCGAACCAAACAACAAACTGTTAATTTGTTGTTTCAATATCTGATGATGAACATAGAATACAAGGTTCAATATTAAGATTAAACATAAATTTATATTTTAGGAGAGAACTGTTCTATAGTAACAA